CACTAAAATGATATATATTTTCCAAAATTATAATTTAAAAAATTATTTCGGAAGTAGAAAAGCATAAGAAACAACCAAAAAATATTTAGAAATGATAACTTGCATAATTTTCAGAGAAAGCTGGACATTCAGGCATTAATGTTTTAGCTGTTGGATTGACAAAATAAAGCAAATCGGAACTTCTCAAATATTTAGTTACCAGTAACTAACCTCCTCATCTTCTAGGTATGGTTCCATCCATTCCCAAAGCTTGGCAGGAGGTTGGCAGTATCTAAAAGATTGTAACAATATACAACTGGTATAAAAATGATACAAGGATATGAGAGGAAAAAATAAAGCCCACCTGTCCCTGCACCTGTGAGTTGTAGTGTATGATTACATAACAGAGAAAAGTATCTAAGTGAAATTTGGCCATATTGTACTTTCCTTGTTTTCTGTACATAATTAAAAAAGTTGTGCTTTCCAGGATAAAAAAAATCTTGCACATTAATCCAAGACAAGAACCATTCCCTAAGCAAAGCCCCTAAACAAGCTATAAGCTACAGTTTAATTCATTGCTAAAAGCCAAGCTGGATTTCATACTCTCAGCTGTAGTTCTAGGATTGTGCAAGTCATAATTTGTCCTCTTTGACCATTTCCACCGTAACATCAGTATGGATATTCTCCATACTGTTCCCTATACATTCTCTAAGGTGCTGTTGAGGAGAATTTGTTTCATAATCCAGAGCTTCTCTAGTTGGTGACCATTTCCTTTATTCTCATCTCCAGAAGGTTTGATTCAGGAGTGATATTGTAAGGAGAAATTAGATGCTAGTCACTCTTAGGGGTTAAAGGGTTAAATGTGGTAAGGTACAGTCTAAATAGGAAAGCCGATCATAAAATAAACCACAAAGAGTGAATATGATACCTATGTGGAGGCATACTAACAGGTTTCACCTACCTGATAAACATGAAACCCAATGCTCTGATGTAAGGTGAGTCCACATGTGTTATCAAACCATTGAGCTGTTTGCGAGTTAGTTTTAATGTGAACAACTTGTACAGGAGACAGAATGATGTTGATACAATCCCACCAGCACCAACTCCTCGAACCTAAAAGAGCAAAGAAATGAAGCAGAAAATAATTAAAAACTAAAATCTGTGCATACAACAAATGTTTAACTTTTTTCAAATAAAAAGACAACTTAATACCAAACCTGAAGTCCCCAAGTAAATCATCAACTTTTCCTACAACATAACATTTTTGGCCCAAATATTATATTATCTTTGTTTTGCATACAAACATCAAGCCTGTAAATACCAGAAAATATCAAGGGGTGAAAAACATATCTACTTGAAAAAAGACAACTTCCTTAAATAATCATTTTATGCTGCCAGATTTGCTTCCTGTTTGAATAAAAACTATATAGATAAAAATGAAAATACACAGGTCTGTGACATTATCCAACTTCCTTAACCCTTTCACTCCCTGAAGTGAAAAACATGTATCTTCACCCTATAACATCCACAGATTATCAAGCACACTGGTGATGAGAATACTCTAACTTATCATGTAGAAGTTGCTACTTTGATTCAATGCCAAATTCTCATAACTTATTGTTAGGAAATGTGTAGCAGCAAGGGGAGAGAGTTAACCCTTTAACTCCCAAGATGTAATTCTTAATTCTCCCTACACTTTCTACAGATTTCCTTGTAAGTTAGTGACAAGTGTTTGGTTTTAGATCAAGATAAAAACTTGCACCTGATAAGTTTAGGTATTCTCATTACCTGCTTGCGGGATAATATATGTATATTATATGGAGAAGTTACATGTTTTAGGGAGTTAAAGGGTTAACACTCAGATCTTGGGAGTTAAAGGGATTACAAGCATGAAAATGTATGATACAAGTGTATTTATGATCTTACCCCTCCACACATTCCAACTTGTCCAGATGTTTTTCTGCTGCCTTTCTCCCATGGTTCCAGGTGGTCCACCTTTAGAAATAATACGCAAAAGTTTTACAAATAATACACAAAAGTTTTACAAATAGCACTGGTTTCCAAAGAGTTGAAATATCATACAAACCCATTTGCTTATCATTCCTCATCAAATGATGTGGAAATTAACATTGCTGCTGCCAAGCTTAAAGGAGCATTGACTCAAGCTCAACAATAACAGCTCTTATTTAAGCATGAAAACAAGGTACAATTGAACACAAGCTCAAGCACAAGGATGAAGTATTTTCCTCCTCTTATTTTACCAAAATGACACATATTTAAGCTCACAAACATATATCAACTTGGAAGAAGCTACAGTTTTCAAGCACACATGAAACAACAAACCGTATCGTTTTAAATATATGTTTAAAGATTGCAAGCCTATGACAAAATGCTATGCTGGTATAATTGTGCTTGTATTTCTCCCAGTATCTTTCAGTAAACCAGACTTAAAACATTGCCTTGTGCAGGAAAAGGAAAAGAATGTAATAATTGCCTAACACTAGTGACTTGAAATCATTCTTGTAGCCACACAATGCTCTTCACATGTACATTATAATTTTCAAAGTTACCTAACTAGAGAGGGCAATTCACCTCTGCTGGTCTCTAAACAGTTAACAGAGGATGATGGAAAAAGGTTGCACAAAAATAGATGCAGATGAAATGACCTCAGCATCTTCATTTTTGGCTGCAATGGGCAGTTGGGAAAAACTAGTGTCTACCCATGCCAAATATGCAGACTTGGTGCTATGAAGTAAACCTGATTTTAATCACTGATCCAGATTTCTTTTTTAGCATGGGATCCTTTAACTACGAAAGGTAATTTTCTCCATCTATATGTTGAACTTTATTAATCAATGCTACAACGACTTTAACAAACTCACAAAACAGTAGACAGGTGTGCCTGTCTGCGACAAAAAAACCAAGGCATCTGAATTGGAGAGATCGCGAAAAAATGTCAAAAGCCATGATAAAATATGTCGCTTTTGGGAGGATTCATGGGGTGAAATTCCTTAAAAATAAATGAAAAACTACAGCTAGAGTACAGGAGTATTAAAAGCCGCAATTCTAGTAAAACACAGTAAAATTATGTACTGTAGCTCATAGCTTCCACTATATTCTTACGTGTCAAGAGTGACGAGTCCACGGTTGCAATTGTGTCCTTCAATTCTCCGTCGACCTTTCTCCATTCTTACCTTGTAGTAAATTTCATCAACCACTTCATGATAGGTTTTCAGCTGGAAAAGTTCGTTCTTGAAGTACGGCGACGACAGCACATTTGTTAGAATCATACTGTTCAGATTCATGGTTTTTTCGTTTCCCCAAAGAGGAAGAACGTTGTTTTGCTTTTTTTGACCTTGGGTTCGTGATTCCTCCACGTCCATGTTGCAAATTTGTTAGTATAAGAACGGCTAGAGCAAGTTTTATACCCTAAAGTTGAAAATAGTGACAACGTTTTACTACGTCTAACATTCTCCTCAAGAAGCCAAAATGGCGGCCGATTCAATAACCCATAATGCTTTTTGTGTTAGCTAGTTACCATTTCCTCACGTAGTAAATTGCGTTGACTTTCCCAAGAGGCAGTTCATTCGTGAACCACTCCCTTTATACTAACAATTTAGAAAACTCTCTGTAGTGTGTTGCTTTCAGTATGTCTTTTCAAGTGTCAAAACCCTTAAAAATACGTTGCTCATCGTCTTATACGGTGGAATTATAGAATGATGGAGCAAACGGCTCACCGTCTTTCGAGTTTCTGAACTCAGTTCTATATAATTATCATAGCTATGATAATTATCTGTGAGGGTCGAGGTAGTCGTGACAGTGAACAAAACAAAAAACAGATGAGGTTATTGCAAATTTTTTTTCGGCCATGCTGGTGATCGTGAAGTATTGAAACCTTTTACCTCGACAAAATACAGCTGTACATTGCTACTTGAAACCACATGAATATAGGTACAGTCACACCTGTATTAAGCGGTCACCTACGGGGAACGGCGGGGTGACTGCTTAATAAAGGTTGACCTTATGGCTGTTTAAAAACAGTGCATGTATAAGTAGCACGCTCATGGCTAGTTGCCTTGTATCCAAATCTGTGTTCTAGTAGCATGAGGAAAAACATGCTTTTGGCGATCTGATTTTCTTGTTCTACAGCGAATCCAATATTCTTTGACAGTATTCTGCCACAGTTATCTCCTATCATGGGTTAAATGAAGATATCTCTTGACTTTCTTAAAGCAAAGTGGAGCATTTTGAACAAAAGAGCAATTGTTAAATTGTTACTTTGATTTTAAGAGAAGTGTATCTGTGCTTCAAAATTGCTCTAAAGAGTACACAGAAGTTGAAAAGGTCTATATTTTCTTAATTTGTAGTTTTAATCTAATTGAGGTATCGTTTGATTTAAGTATAAATCTCACTTATCACGGTAATTAAGAAATATAAACATCTAAATTTGAAAAAGTTTGGATAATGGATTTTTCTCCAAAATTTGGCTAAAAATTGTGTCAATAAGACTGAATGTCGACAGATCACTTCCGAAGGAAAGTCCTCTAAATATCTGTCTCCCTGCCCAAAATATAAACTCAGACGGAAATGTAGCCGTATCATAACCGAAAAACTCTTGACATTAGCCCCGGATATAAGTCATTCAATTTCTGATAATGAGGTACGATGAAATCTTGGCTTTAAGGCCCCCTGTGTCCACTGATTCAAATACTATTCGCTTAAACAATCCACCTTTAAGGTTGACTAATATTAATGGTTTTAGTACATTATGTTCGTAAGTGGAGTTTCAAATTATACTTCTAACTTTGACCGAGCTTCACTACAATATAGTTCTGTACGTGTTACAGCGCACGGATAACAAAAAGGTATCTGCCAAAGTTACACGAGAGGCGTATTAAGAAAGTTTCTCGGTAAGCTACGCAATATGACTGAATTATAATTTAACACTGAAACCTTTCAAATAAAAAAGTCTCGACATTTGCGCCAATCAACCAATATCCGCCCAAAATGGAGATACCAAATGTAATTGAATATTTAATTTTATTATATGAGTCATGATCCCGAGAGGGAGATAAAACTATTTTCGGTGATAAGACATACCACAGATAGTATTCAGATCCAAGGTGATATTCGCCATTAATTGTTACGCTACAGTGTGTATGGCAATCTAGTGGCCAAGTTTAAAATTCCTTCCTCCATCGAAAAACTATACTTGACCAAAAAGGATAAAAAAAAAGTCCCTCACTATCTGTGTAAACTTCCGGAGTAAACGAAAACCGGTCACTACTTCATCATCAATCACTGCTTCAGTTTTTCCTTTTTTTGATTGAAAGTTCACACTTAAACCTTATCTATAACCTAAAAATGAGTTCCTGTTGATTTAATAGCATCCCGTCTCCTATGTATGAATTTACATCATTTTAATGAAGGAGATGGTGCATAAATGTTTGCACATGTGATTTTTGACTAACAGATTGGCATCTGCCACATGTTCATACATGTGGATTTTTACTAACAGATTGACTTCTGACAAACTCCTACGACAGTCTTTCAATTAAATCCTCAACGCGCAGCTAATGAGCGGTTTAATCTGTTTAAGCATACTTCTGCCTGATTTACTAAACTGATTACATTTAAGGCTGAGGAAGACCAAAGCTTTGTTACATTGAAGAGTGTTCGCAAATTCCATTGCTCCCATATCGCCCACTTCGTTCCATCCCAGCTGCAAATGTGTCAAAGTCCTATTTGATTTCAGCGCCTGCGCAATGGCTTTGGCGCCCAAATACTTAATGCTGTTGCTAATCAAATCCAAATACACGAGAGAATCATTAGACTGTAGAAACTGTGCAAATCGTACTGCACCTACATCACTGATATGGTTACCTCTCAGCTGCAAATGTGTCAAGGTCCGATTTGATTTCAGTCCGTTCGCAATGGCTGCGGCGCCAACAGAATCAATGCTGTTCCAACTCAAATCCAAACAGACAAGAGTTGTATTGGACTGGAGAGCCTCTGCAAGCATTATCACACATGAAGACGTCATCGAAGTTCGACACAAGTCTAAATGGGTAACCTTGGTAACACGTGACTGAAGTGCTCTTTTAAAGGCTGCTGCTGCTAAATTGCCGAACTGACTTTCCAATGGTTTTTTGGGGAACATCCGCGAGCCTTTCAAATACAAACGATTGAGAGTACAATTTGATCGTAGGGCTTCTCCAAGAGCTGCTGCTGTTGAGTCACAAAAGGGATTTCCTTGAACATCTAAATAAGTCAGCGAACAATTTGATCGAAGAGACTTTGCAATTGCTTTTATTCCTGAGTCACGAATCCAGTCAGTTTCTACGTCATCAAAGTCAGACTTTGGGCGAGAGAAATCAGGTTTGAACTGCATTTCTATAACCATACCTACATCAAAATACTTCAAAGTAGAATTTGACTCAAAAGCTTTAGCAAATGCCACAGCACCTTGATCCCCGATCCAGTTATCTCTTATATCCAAATGCACCAACACGTTATTAAACTCGAGGCCTTTCGCGATAGCTTCTGCTCCAATATGACTTATAGCGTTACCAGGCAAACTCACATGTGTCAGAGTGCAATTCAGTCGAAGAACCTCTCCAAGTGCTTTAGCTCCTGCAATACGGATCCTGGCATTGCGAAGGTTGAGATGCGTCAATGTGCGATTTGCTTGAAGAGCCGGTGTGAGTGACGTGCTGCGTAAGTCATCACACAAATGTAAGTAAGTCAGCGTATCACTTGATCGAAGGATGTGTTCAATGGTTGCTAATGCTACTTCATTTAACTCAGCAATCCAAACTAAACCTGTCAACTGGCAATGGACCTTAAGATATTCAGAGAAAACTTGAAAATAACGACGGGCGAAGAACGAGCCATCATGAGTATGCCAATGGCTAACTGTTACTTTATCCAGCGGAAAGCAGCGTGCCAGTTCAGAAGCCATTTTCTTCTGGTAATCCTTTAGCTCACCTTCAGGTTGTTCGCATTGAGCAATGACAAAAATTGTGTTAGTGACGACATCTTCCTCAATTCGTTTTGACCATTTTATCCATCCTAACTTTGTAGGCCAGTCAAATGAATCGTCTCTGCAAACGTTAGCATCAAACCCGTAATCGTAACGGTTGTCAGTGTCGACATCGGATGCTGAGGCAAGATCATTATCAAGGTCGTCATCGGAATCACAGTCGCCCGAATCAATTTCATTGTCGCACTGGTAACCAGGATAAATGTGCGCCGAATCATCTTCGTCATCGCTAGCTTCTTCCTCTGGTTCGTAGTAATAATGGAGGCTAAAGTGCTTTGGCATTTTGTTCTGGAAGGAAGCACACAAACTTGACACCAAAACAACAGCTACATCATCACTTTTTTTTGATACCATTGTGATCAGGAATTCCCACACCGGCCAGTACTTATCCGGAGGAGTGAGGTGAGTAAGCAAGGCAGCCTTGTCCTTACCACCAGTCAGCAGTTCATGGGCTACGTGAAATGCTGCGAAATATTCCTGAAAGGTCTTATGGGTAAATGCATAACTTGGCTTCGGTCTGATTTTACTTGCACTGGCTTCTCGAGAAAGAAGACCAAAGTCGAGAAATTCAGTTGAATGACCTCGCAGCTTTTCTGTAGTAAAATACAACTGATCTCTAACCAAGGCTTCAAGTGCCAACTCACCCAACTGATTCAGCTGCTCTGAACATACCTCGATTGGATCTGCGTTCACCAAAGGGATCCCCTTTTTTTGAAAATTTCTCATTAGGGCGCATGAAACAATTTCACGATACAACATGGTTTTATTGTAAGGGAGTTTCCCCTGCGTATCTTCACAAATTAGGCACAGAAGAGCAGTGTTAAGTGGATTGGCAGTTAATTCCCTTAGCTGAGGATTCTTCCTTAAATTCTTAATGAGTTTCTTCGCAAGACTTGGATCATCGTGATTGCTGAAGTACTTCTTAATGTAGGTGTCAGCATCCTCCTCGGTGTAGCCAACAACCTCAAGAAGCGTGTCACATTCACGCCGCACCTTCATTCCTAATTCATGGCGGGCTGTTAGCATGAGGTAAGTACAAGGAAAGATTCTCCCTTGAATCAAAGGTAACAATCCTTCATATACTGTCTCACTTAATTCATCCAGTCCGTCAAGAACCAGTAGGATCCTCGATTGATTTTGGCGGATAAAACGGAAGAAGTTTTCCTTCTCCTTCTCTTCGGCATCAAGTGGCAACAGCTGATCATCAATAGCTTCTTCAATGTCAGCAGTCTTCATGTCTCGGCACTTCAACAGAAGTAGCATCTTCACTTTAGGAAAACAGGCCTCGGCTGATATACATTCCACAGACCAATCATATGCAAGCTTCTGACAGCAAGTGGTTTTTCCTATTCCAGGTTCCCCTTCAATCAGCACCACTCTGGGCTCTTTACATTCTTCATGTGATCGAAACGCATCTGTCATTGGGACGATTTCCTTTGTCCTTCTGGCTCGTTCTTTCTTCTTTTCAACTATCTTCAGTCTTGTAAAAACCTTGGAAAGTTGCAGTTGTAGTTCATCTTCACACCAAGGAAAGGGACACAGTACAGCACCTTTGTATTTTCGTTTAATGAGCTCTACAAATTTCTGTGGAAAGACTGAGAAAACAAACGACAACTACTGCTTAGTAAAAGTCAATCACCTTCTACACCACACCGAGGTAAAAAGCAAATATGTACCGTTGACACAAAACAAGCAAGTCACGAGCGATTACGTTCTAATACGGAAATTCTTTAAAAGAAGACTTCAAAATAATGAAGTCAATGAAATTGTTAGGTTAAAGACTTCAGTATCAATATAAATAACACCTTTTATGTTTCATAAAAAGGTAATTTGTCAATGATATTTTCAGTAGGCAAGCATGCAATTTCACAGTTTCACTTTAAATAAAGAAAGGCAATAAAAATTATTTAATTCAGTCAAAAATACAGGTGTGGCATGTCAGTTTTCATCATAGGCATCTTGACATCCAAGGAAATGAAATGAAAAAGGAAAAGTGTGGATACAAGAAGACCAAGATAATTTATTCTTTTCTCATAAACAAAAAGATGATTTCTCAACAAAACAATCATGTACCCATCCTGATGACACTGTTAGACTTCTATGATGGACCAAATACTCTCAATTAGGTCAGTAAGAATAATGATTGTATATATTGTGGATAACCTACCAGCTGTCTCTGGACTTTCCTGGCATGATCTATTTAAATCTGCTTCTTTTGATTTAAACAAGTCATCCATTTGTTCTGTATTAAGGAAGAATACAAGTTCATTCATAATTGTGAAAATATAAACATTCAGAGGTCACTTAAATCAAACCAGAATCAATTTAATAAGCAGTAGTTTATTTACTTAGTTCTTTCATGGACATTTGATTGGTTAAGGTATTGAGCACTCAATGTTTTTGTTTTGTTGTCAGGAAAGGAAGAAATGGAAGACCTGTTTGTTTTACATCTAAAATTCACCTTGCAGTTGGTGAATATTATCTTCAATATGGAAAGTGTGACTCTCTGTGGTCTGCTGACCACTCTCAAGCTTCTCCATTCTCTCTTGTATGTGCCCTACAACACCAAGAAAATGTCAAAAGATGAGGAAAACAGAATCATGTCCAGATTAAATGATAAAATTTAAAAAATGAGACAGCTGCCATTCCATACTTTGTCTGAGGCAGATAATACAGACACAAGGTTTAATTGATCATTCAAAATATAATGCAAAACCAAATTAGACACCTCGGAGTTGGTAAATGTTATCCTCAATTTGGACAGTGCGACTCTCTGTAGTCTGCTGACCACTCTCAAGCTTCTCTATCTTCTCATGTATGCGCTCTGCAACACCAAGAAAATGTCAAAAGATGAGGAAAAGAGAATAGTAGTCCAGATTAAAACATTAAATCTTAAAAACTAGAAAGCTTCAATTCCATGTAACCCCTCATTCATAAATAATAAATACCAGTAATTTGGTTTATAACAGAGTTGATAAAGCAATTATCAGATGAGTTTGAGCATGATGAATTACTATTCATCAATAGACTGTTTTTGAAAAGATACAAATTCATAAGCTGACAAGTAAACCAACAGAAAGTACATTTGATTGTTACATCCAGTTGAGTACACATGGTTTTGTTTTATGCATAAATAAGAAATATTCAACATTAAAAACCCTTAATTGAGGACTCTGCTTGCATTGATTTGTTGTTTTTGAAAATTCTTCCTTTCTTAATTTAAAACTCTTCAGTGCAATAACATATTCATAATTTAATCACAATTGGATCAACTCATTTCATTTCATATTTAGATTCTTTAAAAGCACCTTCTATTATATCCAGTCTGCTGTCAGTTTGATCAACATGGCTCTCCAGATTCTGTTGTCCTAACTCTAACCTCTGAAGTCTCTTTTCCATATAATTCAAGGTAACTGCAATACTTCGCAGCTCATGTTGAATCTTAGTCTTCTTTTGGTTTAATTCTAAGCACATGTTATCCACCACATCTTGAAGTGACTTAAGCTCCTGCTGAACCACTTGCAGCAATGCAGGGTCTACCGGAGAATTCATGCAAAGATGTACTCCTACAGCAAAATTAATAAATGCAAAGAGGACCAGGCAGTCTAAGTAAATTAAAACTAAAATGGTACACTTATACCTCATGCTGACATTTAAAGACAATTGTAAAGCATTATGCCACATATAAAATGAAACACACCAAATTTATTGGTGCAGAGGAAGACATTTAATACATACATGTTAGGAGCACATTACTGTCATCACTTTCACTGTATTGTTTTGGTACGCTTAACAGTGTAAACAATTGGAGATTAATGTAAGTGTAAACACTGGAGATTAATGGTCCTTAACAGGGCAAGAATGACAAAATCATTTTGAATAACTGATGAATTGCCAGTAGTAAAATAAAGAATATTGATTGATTGATATTGATTGATCTATAACAATCCTGTGACACCCTTTTCCCAACTCAGAACGCTGAATAGTAACAAAGATATCATGAAATACAAATGTATTAAATATATGTCTGCCTCCAAATACTGAAAAATAGGTTCTTTATTTCCAGCCCAATATCTGGATGGAAAGTGCACCAAAAAGGATATTATCAGTTCCTAAGTCAGTTCCATCAATATATCAGACAATGACCTGCTCAACATTAGCCACAAAAAAAATTTACTAAGTGAATGCAAAATTTCATTTTTCTATCATTTCTTGACTGTCAAGTGAAAACATATCAGAGTTTAGACACAGAGATAATACCACAATCTGCCATAAATCATGAACAGTCCACAATGCACCTCCCTCTTAAACCTTAAAAAACAGAGTTTACATAAAAAATATCTTCTGTCAATATATAAAGATAATTAACAGATTACCTTTTGTTTCCCAGTCTTTTAGTTCTACAAGAAGCTCTCTTTCATTTACAGAAGGCAGGGCCATGTTCTTGACCAGTTGTTCCATATCAGTGAAACTTTTCTGAAATTTGACTGGATTCCATTTTCCAAAGGCACAGTGAGCCCAATCATTCCTTGCTATTCTGACATCACCTGCAGAGCTTGCAGCAGTAAAGAATACAGGAACCCCACCAAGCAAAGACAACACAGCTGATGCATCACAGTGATCATCAAAGGCAGTGAACTTCGCCATGTACCCCTGGACATACAGCTTGGCAAAGTCCACATGGGACTTTACCTGACAATCAAATGAAGAATAATTGAATTTTCCACCATGAAGCTTTGGACGAGAAACATTTCCATTGATGTTCTCATATTTCAACAAGTTTTTGGAGGAGGCAGGCCACCTCTGAAGACGACCATGTGGGCCCTGAACATGTATTCTGTGGCTGATCTTTAGGTTGTTGTACTCAACATTGACTCCTTTTTCTACAAATGGACGTATCTGTGGTATAAGGATCTTGTTGAGTGCAATTCCTACCACAAGCCATCGTTTCTGATCATCAGTCACAGCAAGGTAGCTTGAACTGAGGATAACATGAGTAAACTAATTAGCAAGCTGGCTTCCACTTCTGAAAAATCGAAGTAGAATTGTACTTTTATGGAGAAAACTGTCTCTCTTTATTTACTGAAAATTCAGTGGTTAGTGTCCTTGTTTGCTACAAAAGGAATGGTTTACTTATTGACTGTTGATTGCATCTCCGCTGGTTTTCAGCAATTAATTAAAAGAGCTCTAAAATTTAAAATTTCACATAGTTGGCTGAAAGTAAGCTGTTTAGCTCTGCTCTGCATCCCAGGCAAAGTGATTTACCCTTGGTTTGAAAATTATAATATTTTCAAGCGTTGAGGAATTACAATAAACTTGGCTGTATATGAAATTTGCAAAGCAAACACAGAAATTCGCATTGTAACTTTGCAGCTTGTATCCTTTAGTAAAGATGAGTGTGGTTGGCTCTCTGAACTATGGTTGAGTTTGCAGTCTGAAAACTGCAATTTCATTTCATATTCCTGATTAGTATCTCGATAAATAGTTTCATTTATTACCCATCGTCCAGTCATTATAGATAAACAACTCCATGTCAGGGAGTAAATTCTGACTGGCTACTCTTGTGCTCTAATAAACCCCAGCTCTTGGACAAACTAAATCCCTTCTAGATTACAAGCTTCTAGTAACTGACAGAAACACAATGCCATTTCCTTATATCAAGCTTTTATGAATAATTATACTCATAGGAATCAACAAAAAGATCAAAATAAATTTCAAACTCACAATAAACTTTTTAAAACATGTTTGGGCATGACCCATGCCATAATCAGTGTATTGTATTATCTGTTTTTACACACTACATTAAAATTACATTGTCAATTTAAATCCAATGGCAAGAAATGAAATTACAGTACTATTCCTGACCAATAGTTAAACAAGACATGTGAGAGTGTAAGATTTGAAAGGTTCATCTATGCTAATTAATTATTACTGTTATGTTGTATTTGTGATTCAGTTCAGGTTACAACTATCCAAAGTACAATGCCTTCATTAATTTAAAGCAACTGGCCATTTTTCCACTAAGGTGAAAGAACTTCTATTGACAGAAGCACTAGTGAACATTTCCTAGTTGAAAGCAAAAATGTAGGGCTGAGTACTTTAACACTCTAGACTCGTGCAGCTAGAATTGCTTAATTTTAGTTTTTTTTACAGTGACAATTTCAACTTCACACATGTACAGCCACAACATGTTTCTTAGCAACTTAACCTGCACCTCTCTGGAAAGAAAATGGTCACTGATAATTTTGAGTGTGGTGCATGACCATGCACTGACACCAGTTAAACGCAAACTGGGTGAGAATGTAGAACTTACCCTGTTGAGGAAGCTGTTGCCATTCCCTGAGTTTTATGAGGATATATTAGTTCACCACCCCACTAACCATCTTCATCGATACCTGAAGGACAAAAAACCGAGCCATCAATAAAGAAAAACTTATAGTTTTACTATTAAGAGATTGATATAAGTTATTGAAACTATTTCGATCTTATAACCTGGAGCTCAAAAAGATAGCCAATTGTGAAAACAATGAAACCTAAAAAATTAAACATATATAGTAGTTTTAATCTTGTTATAAAAGCCATAATGTAATAGCCGTATGACGACAGTTGAGAAGCACAAGTAGTACATTTCGCTACAACATGAATTACACAGAAGCGAAGTACTTCCGGGTACCAATTGAAATTGATTCAAATAATACTTTCAGTTTTGAACCTAGATTAAACTCTTCTAACTGGGCATCGTAAGGTTTCGAGACTGCCAAATGATATACAATACCATTCGTTAAAAATTTTCATTCGACAAAGCAGCTATATTCAAGATTGTAAGATGGTGAAAGGAACAGATAGCGCGATAATCAGTTCAGCGACTCCGCGCTACTGCCGACTATGCACACACACACAAATATCAGTTCAGTAAGACACTCAGTGAACGATAAATCGTTCTGTGCACAATAAAAAATGGATGAAAAGAAAAACTGTTGGGTTACCTTACGAAGAAAATGTTGATAGAGGGCTCAAAAATGTATCAGCAAGGGGAAATTTGCCTTCCTCCGTCGACAGAACGAGTTTAGTCATGTGACTAACTTAAAGCTTCACCTTGCTTACGTCATCCGTCGCCGGAGCTACTGATCACCGAGGCCTTATAACGGGCTATTGAGATGTAGGTTACTAAAGTTAAAGGGATACGGTCGGATAGAGGATACTCAGACCCCCCCTGATGGGTCTTCTTCATTGATACCCAAGATGCCAAGGCCTTATGTCGTGCAAAAAAGCATGCAATTAATACATTCAAATCATTCTTAAGTGTTGCACTGACAAAATAGTGATATTTTGTCTTGCATGTATCTATTATTTTTTCTCTTATGAGATTTTAGTACAAATCGAGGAAATGAGAGGGGAAGACTCTCTAGTAACTAGAAGCTATCAATCGTAAGTACTAAAACATGGAACGACCTAAAACCACCTTAAACCACCTAAAACTACCTACAACCACCTACAGCCATGTACAATCACCTCAAAAATTTCAACAACCACCTCAAAAACATCTACAGCCACTCGCAAACTATCTAAAACCATCTGAAACAAGGCATAAATGTCCAAAATAAGGCGAAACGACAATATTTCACATACATGAAATACGAGAATCGAACGAAACTTCCACCTCCCCCTGAAATCTTACTCTCCCTGGTCCCATGTATAATCAACAATCTCACGAAATGAAATGCGATAGCATGCCAATTATTTTATATTCCCTCAGTAGCAAAAGACTTAAAGAATTTTATCAAATGAACTAACAAGTTACAAAAAATAATAAATAGGGAGTAATACATGGGCGTGCGTAGATATGGAATTAATCTTCGAGTGTTTAACTCGATAGCTCACGAGTTAGCGCAGCGAACGAGTGAGATGTCGAGTTGAACACGAGAAGAGAAATTCTATACCGTATCTACAAGCAACCACGAATTATTTTGTTTATCATCTAAATACAATAGCCCTTTTCTGAGAAAAAAAGCCGACCTCATTAATGAATGAAAATAAATGAATCGACAATCCTCGAATAACAATCATAGAGTGCGTAGGCACTGGGCTTTAAGATGGAAAAATGCTTTGAATCATGATTACAAAAACTTCCATATCTACGCGCGCCCATGTATGATTCCTTATTTATTTATTTTTTGTAACATGTTAGTTCATTTTGTAAAGTTCTCTAAGTCTTTTACTACTGAGGTAATAAAAAGTATAATTGGCATGCTCTCGTATTTCATTTCGTGAGATGATTGATTATACATGGGACCAGGGAGAGTAAGATTTCAGGGGGAGGTGGAGGTTTCGTTCGATTCTCGTGTTTCGTGTACTTGACATGTTGTCGTTTCGCCTTATTTTAGACATTTATGCCTTGTTTTAGATGGTTTTAGATAGTTTGCGAGTGGCTGAGGTGATTGTAGAAGGTTGTAGGTGGTTGTAGGTGGTTGTAGGTGGTTTTAGGTGGTTTTAGGTCTTTCTTTGTTTTAGTACTTACCGCTTTCAATGAGGGAATCTTAGGGCCAGTGGCTGTGTCATGGACACTCTTTCAGGGTTCTGGGTCATGAATGGCGAAAGTGAAACATGTGCAATCAAAAACCAGTGATTGCCAGGGGAAACACAGCCCCACCTTATCCAAATTGTGGTGACTCTTTTCTTTTCCCTTGCATCAACTAAGAGCCTGGGACAGGCAAACTGTGCTTAATATCTTATGTGAGCCAGTACATTGTATCCTCTGAAAAAGAATTCGACAGAATATCTTGAATCATACTCGCAATTGATGTTCGTATTTTTTATAATTTACCTCAAATGTATGGGTGTGGCACATGGCTCCTACATGGCCATTGAGGAGAGTGAATGAGATTGCAAACATTCAATATCTAATTAACCATCCACCAAATGAGACAGCCTCACTGGCTAAAAATCTGGTGCTCCCTCTTTCTTCATTTTGCCATCACACTCAAATTTCAACATCTTTTTCATTGTTTTTCTGCACACGTTGCTTTCAACATTACCAATCCTAGCTGACTGCATAGTGATTGTCACATATAAAAACCTTTACTTTTTGTAACCCCTCCTGGGAGGGGTAGAGAAAGGGGTTGCTAGCAGAATGCACTGCTCACACTACTCTTCCTTGTTACAGATAGTTTTATAAAAAGGAAGGTTTTCATTTACTTCCTTTCCCCTCTTGACTATTGACGATATGTACTTCCTGTGAATTGTAAACTGGCGGTAAACAGGAAGAAAAGAAAAATAAAACTTTCTATGGCTTTACAATCACATTTTATCTAATTAAACATGTATTTTTGAGGTAGTTCTAAACCTATTGGAAAAAATCCTGTAAAATCTCCAGTAATTTGAAGGCTAGGCTTTCACAGGGTTAACCACACTTTAAGGTCACAAAATGACAAAAAAATACGGTTACTGGTTGAATAGCCCGTTTTAAGTTCATATTTGGAAAAGCATTACTTAGAGACATCTTCTCATACATTTTAGGACAGCCACTGATTTTACAAATTAAAATATTAATTTAAAATATTTATCCTGTATCTACTAGATAGTGGTAAGCTCGCTAGTGTATGATGTTAAGAAGAAACAACCCTACGCTTGCCATCTAACTACTCATAAGTGTCGCGAAGGACACTCCAAATATGACATTTGCTTTACTTCAATAGATTAGTATGTCAGTCAGAGCTAAATCTTTCATATACAATTACTTTTCCTTGCAGGGAAATAAAAAGCAAACACTAAAAAATCATCGGCTCCAGTTATACAAAATAGCGCGACGACTGGACCGAGACCTACGCATATTGTAGAGTGCACACAAGAAACCATGAATTTTCTTTGCACCTGCCTCATGAATTCCGTTGTTTCTCAGGTCTAAAAATATTAATGTATTATTAGTTTGCAGAGTTTCCACAAACTCAGCCACTCCCGAATCACCAATGAGATTGAGTACATGTCACTATCGGAAATTTAAAATGGCATTGTGAACACTCGCAGTGCTTTTAAAGTGAACTTCATAGCCATGCTATGCCCTCAACAAAGGCTGAATCTAAGATCAGAGTTAATGAAACTATTTCGATCTTAAAACCTGAAGCCGTGATGAAAAAGATAGTCAGTTGTAAAATTTTTGCACCCTAACCCCAAAAAAGAGAAATTCAGCTTCTGCCGTGTAATTAAAACCAAAAGAACACCATTAAATGGCCGTATTACCCTGTTTAGAAGCAAAAATTTTTGCCACATTACCTACTTCCGGTATAGCAACTAGAATTAATTTAAATAATACTCTCAGTTTTGCACAAATTAATCAATCCTCGATGGGCATCGTAAGGTTTAAAGACTGCCAAATTACAAACAATACCATTCCTACAGGCGACGTAGCAGTTATATTGAATAAATGTAAAATGGTTTCCGTGTTTACATGGCCTGATGTAAACACGCGGGAAGTTGGGAGAACACGAGATGAGCATAGGAAACCACGACGCGAAGCGGAGTGGTTTCCATTATCGAGTGTTCTCCCAAAAGTGTTTACATCAGGCTATGTAAACACGGAAACCATTTTACATTTCTTTTGTAAAATAACTAATGAAAGAGGAACGAAAACCGTGTTTACATACGCTCATGTAAAATGGTTTTATGGCCAATCAGAGCGCGCGTACTATTTGAATTATTTTATAAAGAAACTTGTAAGATAGAATGGAACGAACAAACAGAGCGATGGTAAGTGCTGCAACTATTACTGGCCACGCATAAACAGAAACATCAGTTCACCGAGACACTAGGCGAATGAAATGTCGCTCTGTAAGAAATAAAAAATGGAAGAAAAGAAGAATCGACGGGTTACCTTATCAATAAAATGTTCATATCTGGCTCAAAAAAAGGAATGGTCGGAAGAAGTTCGTATGCGGAAATCTACTTCTTCTCCTTCCTCCGTCGACAGCATGCGAGTTGTATCACGTGACTGACGTTTGGCCTTGCTTACGTCATTCGTTACCGAAGCTACAAAAGTGATCAAGGCTGAGTGTCAAGGGAAAAAGCATCTAACATATAGATTCAAAACTTTCTTGAATGTAGCACTGAAAATGCAGTAATTTTTGCCTTGTGTGTGCTTGTTTTTTTCTGAGATTTTCTGGAGAGGAGAAGGAGTTATTTCAATTTCAAGGGGCATCTTTGGACATTTGCATTAGTTTTGACTGTTCCAATCTCAAGGTCATGAAGAGACAAAATGTTCAAACAAAAACCAGTTATTGCCAAGGGAAACAAAGCGACATCACATCCAAATTGTAGCAATGCTTTTCTTGCTGCTTTTTCCTTTTTGCTTGGGTCAACTGAGAGCCTGGCACAGGCAAACTGTACTTTTAATTTAATTTGAACTGAAGCACTGTATCTCATGGTCAAGGATTAAACAAGGTATATGGAACCATACTCATAATTGACTTTCATTATTTTCGGTGCAAATTACCAAAGAATGCTTAGGTTCAGGTTGAGCAGGGGCTTCTATTCTGAAAAGTATTGGAATGTTCTTGGGAAACTTTAAGGTAAACTCCTTCAGCCAACCACTATGGGTGTTGCATATGACCTCTAAATGTCTGTTGAGAAGAGTGGATTGCTTTGAAATATTCAATCTCTAATTTATTAAACATCCACCAAACAATTGAGACAGCTTCAACAACTAAAAATCTGAAACTAAAAACCTTTAATGATGGAGTTTAAATTTCAACATCTTTTTTACTCTTTTTTCCTCACACATTGCTTTCAAAATTACCAATCCTATCAGAATATAGGATACTTAGTAAACACAAAACCCTTTTTTATTGTTACCCCTCCTGGGAGGAGCAGAGATAGGGATTGCTGGTAGAAAACAATTCTTACACTACTCTTCTTTGTTACTTCCTGTCCCTTTTTGACTGTTGATAATTTGTACTTATTGTGCATTGTGTACAGGTAGTAAGGAAAAAGAAACCTATCTTTCACTCTATCTTTCTCTAAGCAATTAAAATATAGACAACTATTTATTTACAATCATAAATTATTAAATCATACATGCACAAAACCAAATTATGGTTTTCAGTCATGTAGGTTCATGTTTCTCATAGCCAAGTTATTTACTCTGGCATCCAATTTGAATCATGCCAAACTTTGACTTTTCCATCCGAAGATGCTGACAGAAGGTAATTTTCTGTAGGGTGATAAGACAAAGAGTAAACAACAGATTTATGAGCTTTATCCAGGGTGTGTACTATCTTGGCTTCAACCAGATCCCAAAAACAAATCCTGCCATCCTCTGAGCCACTAACAACTTGTGCATCACTGCTACTCAGGCAGCTGTCCACTTTATAGTCTTTGTTTATATGACCTGTAAACCTGAATACAACAATGATCCATTAGTACTACAATTCTCCCAAAATGATTTACATTAATCCAAAACTTTTTCTGAAACATTTCATCAGCATTACCTTTAAACTACCTCAAAATGATCATAACTACTCCTTTCTGGCTACAACACATTTTTATGTGTGTTTTATCAAAATACCATCTTTTGATGATGGTACTCTTAATTCTCACTAACCTGTCTAATTTAAAATATACTAAAATTGTAAGGAGAAGTTACAAGTACATCAATTCTGAGAGCAAAGGAGTGATTTTTAGAAGTTATATTAATTCAAAGCCTTTCTTCTCTCTAATTCTCTTAATCATTAATTCTTCTCTTAATCATTTACGTGTCTTGCCTGAGTAGTTTAAATCTGAAATGAGAAGGGCAATCAGCCAACATTACACTAGGTAAGAAACAGAGCAGTGATAGTTTTGGTAGCAGTAAGGTAGTATTAATTTACCCTGTACACCATAACACCATTTTGCATATTCTTGATACAATTCTTAAGGTGCTAACAAGGAAAATTTGTTTAAAAATAAAAAGGTTCTTTAGTTGGTGATCATTTCTTTTATTCTCATGACCTTAATGTATGGTTCAGAGGTGATATTATAGGGAGAAATAAGATGCTAGTCACTCTTAGGGGTTAAAGGAATAAAAGGAAAACTCACAGACAAAACTTTGGTTAGTCACCCAATGAAAACAGTTTCTTGTAGCCAATAAGCATGAATGATTTAAAGATCTATTCTGTCCAAAGTATATTAAATACAGAATTTTTTACAGTTTGGCTACTAAAATGTGTAGGGTGTACTTCCCCTGATGACTTTTCTGAGAGTAGAAATTCTGACTCACTCATTCAGTAACTCCCCAGTGTCTTTATCCATCAGACGAATGGTGTCATCTAATGTTGATGCCAGCACACACTGACCATCCCTTGTAAAATTCACACTGGTGACTGGCTGGCCAATACAATCTACTCGCAACTGACCCATACGGATATCATAGTTACGGACTTTGCCATCAACAGATCTTGTAAGGAAGAATTGATCACAACAGAAAGACTATTTTTAGAAGAAAAAATGGTTGTCATATCTATTTCTTTTTTCTCTTTCTAGACATTCTACCAAAAAAATGATATCAATACTGAGTTTTAAGTTCATAATAGTTATTGCACTAAGCAATGCATTTAGAAAAAAATTCAAGACACTTTTCTAAAATTCCTAGTTGACTTTTTCATAAAAATAAGTTATATTCAAGAAATAATTTTTGATGATATCAACAATTGCACGATTCTAGCAGCCCACAAATTAATATACTTGCTTACATGTTTTGAGTCAATGTGAGAATTTATCCCTCAGAAAGGCCAAATTTTCATGGAGAATTAGATTATATCATAGGACTAACTCTAAAATCCAAAATTAGGGAGGATGCACAGGAGATTTGACACAAATCTGTCTCCAGAGCTTTCCTTCCACATTCAAAGGTCTAGGCAGAAAGATGATAATTTACACAGCCTAGTTTTCTCTTAGGGCATATAATGATTTTTAGACCATACATTTTTATCAAGTGCCATTCAGGGCTTTGCCAGCCTCCTTTTTCCCTTCATGTACAAGAAATTGGTCACCAAGAATGCGCTAGCATGAGATCCAAATGTTCTCTCCACAGGCACAGTGCTCTTGCCCAAGGCAAGAGAGTTGACAGGGATACTGCTTCAACTACATGTAGTAACCTATAGCACTTGCAAAACCTACCCAGACAGAATTTCATGTTGAGACACACATAGGGAAGGCACACTGTCTTTGGCATCATCGAGAATCTGTACTGGCTCAGGACTGCGCGATTTACAATCCCAGCACCGTACACTGGCATCATATGAGCCAGATATTAATACTGTGCTGTCTGGTTGGTTAAACTTCACACAGTTCACTTTCTAGAAATAAAAACATCACTGTTAGCATAAACCTCACACCTCCCAGAAATGATCAAAATGTAAATTCTCCTTATAATTCCAATATAAAATCTTGCAAACAGGTTATGAAAACAGGCAAGCTTATTAAGCTTAGTAACTAACGGATGTTACTTTGAGAAAGAACACATTCTCCTGTCCAATTTACAAGGAAATGTACATTTAAGGGAGTCAATAAGAAGAATAACTTATGAGATCTAGGGAGATAACAGGTTAATTAGAAAACTGACAGTCACTAATTGACAAACTGCCCACATGTAGAGTTATCATAGACATCATTATCACCAGTAGACAAACAGTGTTGTATCATCATCACAATCTGTGATGGTGAATGATTGCAAGATAAATAAAAATAAAAAAGCCTCTGGTCTCCATATGGCTACAATCAGACAGCATTTTGCATGATTACACATAATAACAGTTATCATATCCTTTGATCATTTTTTGCAATGAAAAGCTTGTCTTGTGTTCAAAGTATTACATCAAAATTATTTTTCTGTTTTCAAAATACACAATCAAGAGCCATTGTCCCGAAGGCGATCCATTGCATTGTTTTTGCCACTATTTTTTTTTTTATCCAAGAACTGTATGCACAATGGAGTATAGGGCTGTGTGGAAATCTTGCCGTGATTTTTTATTAGTATGAGACAAGGGAAACAAAAATTGAGACAAAGGGTGAAATGGAACCGAACGAATAATTTCTGTCACTTACACTGGTGTGTCCTCTAAAGCGGCGTATAATTTGTCCAGTTGCCACATCCCATAGTATAACAGTTTTATCAGCTCCACAGCTCGCCACCCGACCATTATCACTGGATCCTACAGCATCAAGTACTTCATATCCATGTCCACTGTACGTCTTTAGGAGACCTCCCTTGTGAGGGTTCCACAGTTTTAAAAGTTTATCGCTGCCACATGTCAGGCAGTAGTTACCGTCGTAATTGAATCTGACGGCTCGTACGGCTCCCTGGTGGCCCACTAAGTTTCTAGTTTCTTTGCATGGAAGAGGTAAATCCATCTCGTTACCATTTACTTGGTTTTATAAGTCATATTTGCAGCGGATTTGACGCTAGTGAAGTGTTCACTCATCCGCCATGTTTCTCTCCTTAGTAACCATTCCTGGCGTTAGTTTCGGTCCTAGATTCCTATCGGCCATACTCGGTTTCGGTCCCAGGTCCCATGACTTGCACTAGTGCAGCGCGTTCCACAAGCAGTTATCGCCCTGCAAGTTACTTACCCAATCGCTCATCTTTTAATTCCCTATCGTAAGCCCGTTGATCATTCATTTGATGTACGGCAGCAGGGTGTAATTTTCTTACTATATTCAGGTTTCTGGTGGTGAGTGTGAAGCAACACTTATCTGACGTTTTACAGTTTCACGCCGAAACACAGCAGGCATAAAGAGACATACATCCTCTCAGCGAGGGAGACTAAATGACTATTAAAGATACAGACAATGTATTTGGAAGTCGGGTCGAGTAATCTTTTTATTATTTAGTTATTTTGTTTGTATATAGAACTATATGTTCTTTGTTTTTTGAATAGAGTATTGTTATTAGAATTACTTTACATTTTGAGCTCCAAAAGGTATATCTCAATCGGGATGAAAACGATTTTGAAGTTTTGAAACCTCGTAGCTAAAATGGACGGGAACTTTGAAGCTGAAAAAAAAGTGATTGCGCCTTAGTTCGCCACTTTTTTGTTTCTATAATATTTTGACGCCATCTGTGATCTTTTGCTGAACACACTCAAGGCTACATGTAATCTATTTGAATAAAGGGGGTAAGTTTCTAGAGAAACTGTGGTGCAGCGTCGGTGGTAGAGTATAACAGTGTAATTTAGTGTTATCAACTGAGTTTATAACGTAAATTGGCCTCCGTAAGGGGTTTAAAAGCTGACGTTTCAAGCGTTAGCCCTTCGTCAGAGCGAATGGCAAACGCTCGAAACGTCAGCTTTTAACTAAACTGTTTACTATGGCCAATTTACGTTATCAACTCAGTGTATTTATACTAAATTACCCTGTCATAGAATCTATTAGTTGCATTCACCCTAGTGGGGGGCTCATTAGGAATTAAGTAGGACTTGCACGTGTGCTGTGTTGTGACATCTATTTCCTCCAGATAAGGTAGTTGCTACTCTAACAGTTTTTAGATTAAGTAAACTCTGAAAGGTTTTTCAGCTGGTCAATGTGGTTTAGACAAACTGATAAGGGCGTCTGACAGAGAGATTTATTGCTCGCATTTCCATCGATGATGTTAAATTGCTCAATATTAACTGTGCCATCAGAGTGAAAACTTTTCGGTTTACCACGTGATCCACGGAGGACTAGCTTGAGGATGCCGGATGGAAGGTGTCAGCAGGTGAATCAGTGCCACGGGTTGAGCGTGAAACCCCTCTCCGGTGACCATTACCACAAAAAAGGTCCCTTATTTCATTCTAACAAGGTGTGTTTTGTCTTAAAAATAAAACAATGGAACAAAAATAGATTTAGTACCGTAACAAATATGGCCTTAATTTATCTCTCTTTCTAGAAACGTCTACTTAAGACAGGAATAGAAAATATAATGGGCAGGTGTCAAAAGACCTTTCATAATCCTGACAAATGTTATTTATTTTTAATAGAGGTTTTTATCGACGAGGGTGAGTGGATTAGCCTGCCAGAAAAAATTGATTTTTCACTTTGAAACATCTCTGATATATCATCGGATAACTGACGATCTTTGTCGAATGAAAAACAGATCTTCAGCTAGAGCTATGTATTCACCAACGGCCTGTTATTTCAATTTTGATGTAATTAAAAACTTTGTGATGCAATCACAGAAAAGTATTCAAATTAAGAATTCAGTGGTGAGTCAAGATGACCTCAAGTATTGGCGATTTTTCACCTTAGCCCGACGAACATTATTCCAAGACATACCACTCAACCTTAACATCATATGAAACTTCGCGACATCATCAGTAGCCGGCGAGGAAGGTAAGTTCTCTATTTTTGTTATTTAAGTTCATTTTTTGTCGTAGAGTCTCATTCAGCTTTGAACTTGAGCTTGTAAACAAAGCAAACAATGACATCACTATAAAATTTTCCAAAAAAAAAAAACCAATACATAAAGCTATTTCAGTGAGATTCGCAGTAAGGGGCTTGATCACCTGGGCATTCAGGAACTCGTCTGCGTTCAAGGCCCTTAAGTAGGGTTACATGAGAAACAGACCATATTGTTATAGCAAAGTTGTTAATATTTCGGTTTTCAAAATGATAGCAAGAGTTAGCTCTATTATTGAACACTCTGTAGAATCATTTACAAGGAATCAAATAAAAGTTTTCATTTCATTCGTTCGCGGGAGGACCTCTGATGTATCTCACCTCTTAATGTTTTTTTTCTTTTTCAATTTTTATGGTTTGATTTCTCTTTCGTATTCGCATTTCTTACACTTGATTCGCCCCAACTTTTTCTGTCAGTTTATCACGAAGGAGGATGTGGAGTCGAAGGGTGGAAAAAATTATAATAATAGATCGCTGTTTGCATTTATTTATTAACTCGATTCGAATGTCACCATTTTGAAACAAATGCAACAGTAAAATATCTCATTCCATTTTATCTTGCTGTAGCTCATTAAATGGTTACGTAGACTTTATCAGTGTAATTAGACGTAAAGAGTTAGCGACATAAAAGAAAAAAATCTTACCTGTTTCCAGAGGCAAAGGAATACGCAGGTTTAGCCTAAACTATGTTCGAGAACTTTTGCCACCTAAAGGAAACTTCCCATTCCACGTACGCGCGGTGGAGTTCCTTTACACTGTTTTGGTTTCAGTTAGTGTTTTAGAGTTAAGTAAGAGATTTGGAGACAGGTAGCTCGAAGGATCACCACAAAACGTGTAATAACTTTTAATCTTCTTTATTGTCCTTGATACTTTTTTTTACAACTTGATTGTTCGATCTAGGGATATTCCGAAGACCGTTACTTCGAACTGAATAGAAACGTGATCTTTTGTGATACAGAACCTAGAAACGACACCATAAATTAGCGTAATCAAAGAAATCAAATCTTACCTCTGCGGGGGATCGTTACTAGTAGACTCATTAGTTCTCAACTTAGGTTAGTCTAAGTTCTTAGTTCAGGAAGTTAGCGCACTATTTTCTTCTGAGAGTTTCCGATGATAGTAAAAACTGATTGACAAGAGGATACCAAAGTTTCGAGGGCCTTACCACACGTATATCAATATATGTCTTTGCTTACAATTCCAAGAGTATGAAAAACGTTCGATCCTTCGCCAGTCAAGAAAAAAGTTATATGAGACCTTCTTTAACGTATGTGTTTTCCCTTGCCTTAAGGAAAGGTCAAGTACTTTGGAGGTGAATCGACTGACCGATCAAAAAAGCTTCAACACAGTTGTTTAACTCTCAAATTTAAGCCCAATTTTTTTTCAGTCATTTGCAACCTGTTACCATCTTCTCAAACAAATTTTTATCTACCATTAATCCATTTAGATTTGGTATTTGTGGCTTCTTTCACGTCCGAGATAATGTTTTCTCGTCGTAAGATGCGAATCAGAATGTCAAGAAGTGGTGCTTGCTCATACTAAGATTATACTATCACGCATTAGCTAACAATTATATTTTGTGATCCTCTCTTTAAAGGTTGTCTCTGAGAAAGTAACATGAGGTCTACTCTTTTTCTGGCGACTATTTTACTAGGTAAACACTGAGTTCACTGCTTTGTTTTGATGAACGCTATATATTTATCAGGTCTGAATGCTCGCATCCGTTTGGAGGAAATCCTAAATAGAGACCACCGGTGTTGAAGACACATCTGTTGTTTCGTTTGAATTGTTTTGGACTAACTTTTTCTTTTTTTGAATTCAGTGACTGTATCGGATATCACTGCTAAAAGCGTTAAACATCCAAAACATCACAAGTCAGAGAGGAAGCAGCACCATGACCAAAGCCATCAACGACAAGCTGTGGTTCCACCTGCGCAACCGACTGCAGCTGGAGCACCAACCACTGTAGCACCAACCACTGTGCCTGCTGCTGGAGCATCAACTCCCGTAGCTCCAGGACCAGCCCCTGCTGCAGGAGTAAAGACCACCGTAGCACCTCCTGGTAGTACACCAGCAGCCGCTGGTGCAGTAGGAACAACTAAGGTACCAGCAACTACAAGTGCGACACCTGCGGCTGCCGGAGCAGCAGCAGCTCCCACTGCAAAACCGGCAACTACTAGTGTCGCACCCGCAGCTGGTGCAGCGGTAGCAACAACTGTGGCACCAGGGGAATCCACAGCGAAGCCCGCAGCTGCCACCGGTGCACCTGCCGCTGCAGCAACCACTGTGCCACCTGCTGCATCAACCGCAAAACCTGTAACTGCCACCGTTCCTGGCCCTGTAACAGCCACCGTGGCACCGGGTGCATCAACTGCGAAGCCTGAAACTACACCCGTGGCTGCACCAGGAAAAGCTCCAATTGTGGCAACACCTACCCCAGCGGCTCCCGCAGCAGGTAGTGCACCTACAACTGGACCAGCATCATTGCCACCCGCTGCCGCTGGAGCCAAGCCTGCGCCTGGAGCGCCAGTTACAGCTAAGCCTGCCACCGCCGTTCCAACCGGTAAGTTTATATTGCTATTTTTGTTGTTGTTATCGTTGTCTCTTCGATGGTAGATTAACCGATGATACTTTTATCAATGACAACTACAGGTCCACTAAAATTCGCACCAAGCGCCTTTCCCGCCAAAGATAAAGAAACGAAGACAGAAGGAGAGTCGTCCTCAAAGGCACATTTCAGGAAGGAAGATAAAATCGACGAAAGGAATGACAAATCTCAGGAAGAAGGTAAAGAGTCCGACAGTGATAGCAAACATAAAACGGAGAAGGAGGCAGAGGACAAATCCGAAAAGGCAATCGGGGATAAGTCTAAAAATAAAGTTAAAGACGAGTCTGTGAAGAAACTGAAGGACAAGTCTGAGAATAAAAAGCATCATCGTTTTCACCGTCATCAGGATTAACAGATGAATTCTATTTGGCACTGCTGGACTGGACTTTGGAAAGAAAAAACAAAGACATTGAGTAAACGCATATAACTAGCGCTTTTCGGCGTTTAGCGCAAATTTTACCTATTTTGTTGGCATATTGAAAATGTTGACAGCTCAGGGGCGTAATAAAATCTAGAAAAGAGCGAATAAGAAACATTTAAAAGGCGAATACGTATATATTATTATCTGAACACACAGACTTACAGAAGGTAAGCTATAGGTCTACCGTAAAACTGCTGTTTGCAGCACGGTTATTACAAATTAATTTATTTTGCATAACTTGTCGTATGTTAATAAAAAGTATTTTCATGATGAAAAAAACAAGACTGGTCTAGCAAATAACTTACTACCCATGAAAATAACTGCCTACGATTTCAAAATCCGGGAGTCACGCAGAGAGGCACGAGTGCTCTGATAGGACTTGGATTTTTCATTGTCCCAAACATTTGACGAATGAATACTGATTTGGTCCAAGAATGCTCCATTTCGTAAAACTGTCACTTACTCGATCCTATCAACATAAAGGGACGCTTGTGTGGAAGTAGCATACAGCCTCGCTCATCAGTGAGCTTTCTGAAGCCCAGTGGTAGAGCATCGAGACGGAACCAGATCCCGAAGATTTGAGGCTCAAAACGTTGGAGGAAACCATATTTATCATTATCCTGTGCTGGTCACAAATGAATATCGTCTTAATATAACTTATATGACCTCTTTTCAATAACATATAACATAAAAACATATAAACATAAAACATAACAACTTTATTTAAGTGTCGATGTCTTTAACTTAAAAAGCTAATTGGAGAAACTAAAACAATAGGAGAAAGATTATAAAATGAGCTAATAGATGATATCATCAGGTAAATTCATAATTCAAGAAATCTAAAATTTATAAAAAGTTAAAAGTTTAAAATTACGGAGTTATCCCCACAAAAATGTACAGAAAAATGCTAAAAAACTTTCTAAACATTCTCAAGAGCTACAAATAAGACAGGAGCCACAATTGTCACTTTTAAGATCTACAAGGTTAATATGCCGTATGTTGGACTCAAAGGATTGTAAGGTAGGTTTGTCCTTGATTTTGCTGTCCAGTCTAGACCATATATATATGGTCCAAAGTACCATAAAGAATGTTTCCCGTAATGTACACTATTAAATCTGGGTAAATGAAAATCCATATTTCTTACTTGATATTTAGATGACTTAATACTAAAAATGTCAACGACATTACTAGGTACCAAACCATATTTAGCTTTATACATTAAGGTAGCAAGATCTTGTAAATGCCTATTTTGTAGGCTAGGTAGATTGGCACGGTTAAGAAGATTAGTGTACTCTACTGAATGTGTGTTATACACAATCCTAAGGGCCGTTTCTGTACTCTTTCAACAGTTTCTGGCGTCGGGGGCTTTACAGAAATGCCATATAAGGTAACAATATGTTAAATATGGCAATATTGAGGATTTATATAAAAGCAATTTTTGCTTCCGTAGGGATCAGATTTCTTAATCTAGAGAGGACGCTCACTCTCTGGCTAGCTTTTTTACACAGTTCACGAAGGTATTTGCTAAATACAAGGTGTTCGTCGATGTTGACTCCGAGAAGGCTAATGTCCCCAGTACTTTCAATGACATGCACATTGATTGTTAATGAAGCTTGAAGATTGCAAGTCCTACAACGGACCTGTAATCACTCAAAGGGTGTTTACAACCACGCTGGGCTATAAAAGAGCAGAAGTGACCCTTACAACGAGACTGCTGTATTGTTATTGTATTGAAAAAGTGCGGGAACGTAAATAATTTTTCTTCAACGATAAGAATTCGATACCGTAGTAAATCTATAAGGCTTCTTGATAACTGTATGGTGATGGAAACAGTTGATCGATGCCTTTTGCATGTTTGGAATCTCAGCCATCAGCGACAAACTCTAACCTCTGTTCAACTGGTTATGCAACGGATATCACAATAATAATGCCCGGAAACTAGTAAATAACGTCAAGTTACTACATGTAACCTGCTCTTAGATCTTGTCAAAATTTCATCTAATAACAACTTACAGTTTGGAATAAAAACATCCGTTATCCATTCTCGATTAGAAGCGTTAACATCCCGTACATTTACCCTTATACCTGCCACTGAATACTTCACTAAAAATACCTAAGACAGAACATGAAGTTCGAACAGTCAAGCGGTACGATGCAAGACTGAAATACTTCCTTGTACGTTGTACGAAAGAGACAGGATCTATTTTTCCCCGAAAACGGGAACAGACATAATGTGTCTGTTCAGTTATAGATCACATATTTAATTGTCTGACAAGCAATCTGAATGCAGGATAAAACCTGTCATTTCTTCAATGTGCGCACATGAGTCAAGTTATAGCAACTTCAGCAAGGATACGCATTGCAAAACCAAGGAATGAACAGCATATTGCTGTCACCTTTCCGCAGGCTTCATTTATACTTGCAGCTCAGCTTACGGTGCAAACGAATATCAAATCTCAGGTTACGAGAAAATGCCCTCGTATTTCCCTCGTGAGCTTCAGACAGCCAAGGATAATAATCCGCCTCTTGTAAGGGCTTGCGCAGAGAAAATGCACAGTGGATATTCAAGAAATGAACTTCAGGGGCATGTAGCACATTTGGAGTTTCCTTTTCGAGAGTTCCTTTAAAAGAGCTCGGGTGGCCCTTGCGGTTGTACACTCACTACAAACCCCAGCCACTTTGGAATTGTTAGTGTTACTTATTACACATTCTTTGGTAGTGTGCACTCGCGATTTTTACGTTTTTACTTACTTTTACGTCTATTACTGTGCTAGGGGCAGGATGTAAAGACCTCTGCCACTCCAAACTTCAGAGTTCTACGATGAAAACATTGTCCCAAGAGGAAATTCCTATTGATATGACATCGCAACAGTTTCAAACCACGAGGTTTTCTTGTGTTCGGATTGTCTTTTGACAGAACTGGTCACTTCGGGTCACCAGTCAAACTGCCCCCAAGGACAAGAATTCTGATCAGGACTTGTTCTTTTGACTGTCGACTGAGAGGGGAATAAGTTTATTTTGACGGAAAAGACTTGGTTGCGCGCAAACAAAGAACTTATTAACACCAGCCTCATCGAATGACAAAATTCAGCTACGGGAGCTAAGGTAAAGGCCTTGGGAGTCAAATTGCTTTGTCCTTTTTATCATAATTAGTCCATTAAGTGAACAACATGTACCTTTTAAAAGACTATCTACCGTTTAGTTTCTTTGTTCGAATGTTTCAGATGTTTTTATTTCTTTTGTTTCATTTAATTGTTTTGTTTTCTTTTCATAGCTGTGCTAAAGTTGGCCCAAACAAACATGGTTTACTTGTGTTTCTTTTGTATCATTTTGTCTTCGTTTCTTGTCTTAATAGGTGAGCCGTACATTTAAAGAATGTATTGACTGTGTTTAAATATTGATTTCTGTGCGGTTAAAATATAAATTGACAAATTGCTAGTTATGACAAGACACACTCGAATTATTGGTAGTGACCGCCAGGAAACGACTCCTAATCTTCTGATATGATGGTTTGAAAATTACAATACAGAACAAATTGTAAAATTGATGCAAAATTAGGGGTGAACGTAACCACTGCTTTCGAAAATTCAACAGTGAAAAGACGCAGAGATGGAAAATAATGATTGAGGTTTTAACCAGCGACTCGAACCCTTATGTCAAAATTTAGAGTATTTCAGTTCTTCTTTTGATGAGGGTTATATCCGCAGCGATGAATTCAGATGCCGCGGAGATGCTATAAAACTATAACAGGTAGCTTTGTTTTCAACGATTCGTACGTGTATCAAGTATAACCACAGTAATTAAACTATCGGCTTTGGTTAGTGGGCAGTAAATAAATAGGCAGCAACAAATCTTGTAGCAGTAAACAAGAGATATTTTTCTCTTCTACTCCTTTTATATACATGTTAGGGTTAAGATACTGTATGTGAATTAAACTTTCACGGGGTGACCCTCTCTTATTGAGTGAACAGTGATAAAGCTTAAGAGAGGGAGCTTATTCTTAAATCGTCAAACGGAGGCGGCGGAGAAGTTTGAGACTTGGGGAGACTCTCCGTTGCGTATCAAGCGAAGCACATACAAGTATTCAGTTATCTAAATAGTCGTGAGGTGAGCAAGCTAAGTCGTGTGGTTTCTAAACCGAGTAGGTTGGAGAGCAAGATATGACAATGATATATATGATAGATATGTCCCCCATCTACCGACTTAAAACACAAGAAACTTTGTAGCGGTGGACCATTATGTTACGAAAAGAAATGGTGGTTTTAGATAGGTTTAAATGAATATTTTCATTATTTAATGTTGTACTGATTTATTATTTCTTTTCAGACTGCCATGCACTACCGAGAGGTAAGTCAAAAATTGACCGCAAAGAAAACGAAAAATACGAAGCAATGTTCTCAGTTTGTAAACCTAATTGTTAATCATTGCTATAAAAGTACATGTTCCACGTTATGGCTTTCAATTCTTTGGAAAGAAGTGACATCACATGCACGCTGGAACCCCCCCACCCCCTCAGTCCGACCCTTGAACCGATTAAGGCCGAGTAGTTGTCGCCTCTAAAGTGATATTCTTTTTCCTATCGTAGATTGTCACGACAGATTTCAAAACTGTGAAACGTGGAAGAGGTCTGGTTTTTGCAGCTTCAGGTCACATGCATTCTACTTGAGGAATGGTTGTGCAAAGACCTGTGGCTTCTGTAAAAGTAAGCTGTGTCCACTAACTGAAATAAAAAGTATTGTGCGCGTGTCTTCACAAAGGCTTTTATATGCTCTGAAGATTAATTTATTGTTTCTTTAATAATTGTGGGTCATAGCCCCTCGAATAGCGTTACTTAAGTCGGCTGGTCACACTCACAGGGTAGTTTAGTGTTAAAAGAGGTAATAGTTAGATGTTTCGAGCGTCAGCCCTTCGTCAGAGTGATTGGAGGAATTGTGGGTTGTGTGTGGGTTGAAATGCAGAAAATGGAGCTACGCTATCGGTGAATACGATGACGAGAAAACAAGAATACGATTTCCTAGCGTAGCTCCTTGGTAAGTTTCTTCAGGCTTGGCATGGTCCGCGT